TAATGATCTGAAGCTCAGTAATGATGAAGAAAAGCCGCTTCTTGCAGAGAGCCAAACAAGCGTACCTGTTGAGCCAGAAGGGGAGGATCTTCGAGAACCTTTAAATAAGGGAGCTTGGAATGAAGATGAGATAATTTCTAGCTTGAAGGGAATAACCTCTTTTGAGAAATTCTTGGAACATCTGGATCATCAACTTAACAAAATTGAAGCAGAACTTGTCACTATTCTAAGAATCTCAACCTTGGTAGTGGACAGCCAGGAGAAACCAAAAAATTTTAAGGTGCAACAAATAATGGAACTTCTTGAGAGTATCGCTGGCGTTAGACAGAGGTATGCAAATTAGTGAACACAAAAGTTGGTATAGTTTGTCAATGGTCCCCTTTACAAGACTTAACACTCATAACTGTTACTCCTGTAACATTTCCTGTATGTCTTTTAGTTTTTATTTTTTGCTGGATCTGTATGTTCATTTCTAACTCCATTTCTCATTCATGATCTTTGCGGTCACAGAATTTCAAGTATCAAGATGGCAAATGTGGAGATCAGATAAAGCTTCAATTGTTTTATTGTCTCTGGAATCTGGTAAGGATTGCATTTATGCTTGAGAAATTAGCTCCAACTCTGTTTTTAGCATGGAAGTTTTTTAAACTAGAAGTTGGAGATCATGTAAATTACACGTGAAAAATTAAGACGACAAGATGTCTCTTCAGTCCCGGATGTTGTCAAATCATACTTCTCAGGACTCTGCTGGAAGTTTATAGCATGAAAACTAGCAAGGACTGTGTCTATATATCATCTGCCTCTTGGTATGCATCAATATTAGGCTGAGGGACTGGGGTTGGTGTTCTAGGCCTTGATAATTAATGGAATAATCAGGAAACAGTTTTATGTAAATGGTTTTGCTTTTTGGTGATAACATGTTGTCCTTTATTTGCTTCCTTGGACACTTGATAGCAAAGATCCCAAGAAGATAAAGGGAGAGAGGCTAGATTTAGAGTTTTGGCTGCCAGTCAAGTATACATAGAGGCAGAGACATATGCACCTCTTCAATCTATAAATGCATCTTTGCTTTGGTGTGGACAACCTAGTTGTTACGCTGTTCTTTATAATATGACCATCATATTGTAGTCAATAAATGTCATATCACCCCTCCTTTTTTCGTGCCTTTTCTTTTACATGTATATATAGGGACTTATGCCTTAGGTGAATTACATATTTTCATCCATGCCTAAATCAGACAGTTCTATTGCGCGATAAAGAAACTGTAAAACAAAACTTTACAGTGTGTAATGGAGAAATTAATAAAAACTACAGTTGACTGATTATACTCTCTTTGTCCATACTGTCAGGTAGGCCAAGCATTAATAAATCTCTAAGGAAAGCTCCACCTCATGTTGTGAACTTATGTGTGTGCATAGTCCGGTACAGTTTGTCAAAGGATTGCAAAGCAATAAACAGCTACTTCATTGGTTCAGCAAGATTTGGGGATTGAATGAATTTTAGCAGACATCATCAATATTTCCTTGAAAAAGGTCCTCAACCTACAGGAACTGTTCATGATATTTCAAAAAAGGCAGGGCTTTTTACGGAGCTTCGCCTTAATCAACAAACACAAGTAATATTAGTTGCTTTGCCCATAGTATTTGATTGATGCCTATCCAATTTCAAATTTCATTCATTTCAGCTGCCTTTCATGCCCTTGCTTCTGTTGTAAAATGTTTTGTTTGCATTAGATAATGTAGTTGAGCAGGCTGTATATGTTCCATACCTGAATTCTGCGCAGCAATGCATGTTCTTTTGATAAACTCACAGATTTTCTAGAACAGAGAATGTAAGTGAACTTTCATTAAAATTGTAGGGATTAATATAACTTGCGAGATGACTTCAGTAAACGAAACGAGCAAGTAACAATGAAATGAGATCTTTAAGTACTCATTTTTATTTGCAATTTGGAAGTATTTACAAAAGAATTGAATTGGGTTTTTCTTCTTTGGAGTGAAACCACCAAATTCATGTGCCTAGTTCTACTTCTATGTACCTGTATATTGAAAAATTCAGCACTCTCAGTTTGCTTCCATTAATTGCTGGAGCAAGTTCTGTATCATGCTTCAGTCTTTCCATGAGGAAATCATACTGGAATTAAGTCACCTGTTACCTTCCATTAGGTCAACAAGAGTAATTTTGTCATAATTACTATGTTCCAAAGAATCAAATTGCTTGCAGATTTGCAGGATGTCATTCTCCGCAACCCTTCCCATCTCCTTAAGCTTGTATATGACAAACTCTGATTTGCTGTCATTAAAGAGAAATAAAAAAAAAACAAGAAAGTTAACATAAATACACATTAAGCAAAACATAAATAGAAAGCTACTAAAGGGAAAACTCAAAAATAGGCTTAAATCCATGTAGAGAAAGTTAGGGTTTACCTGATGCATCCATCATTATTAAGGTCTGCTGCTATTAAATCCCTCATCGTAACTTCCTTCTGAAGAACCCATTTCGCGATTCGACGATTCCTCTTGTCGATTCTAAGCTCAGTCAAGTACAGAAAAGCCCTGGCAACAGCCAATGTGCTTACCAATAACCACACAATTGCAAAACACCTTCCTCCAACTGTCTTGAAAGCAAAATCCCCATAACCCACAGTTGTGACTGATGTAACAGAGAGGTAGAAGCTATTAATCCAGCTCATGTCCTCCAAAAAATGCACTGCAATTGTCCCTATAGCTATACAACCAATAACAACTGACAATGCCAACCCCACCTTGATTCTTATTCTCATTCTTCCTTTCTCTCTATCGATCATATACGTCTGAATCATGTTGTTGAACTTAGTCTCATCCATGGTGCTCAACAAGACAGATTCTTGCCTGTCACAGATGTACGCCACCAACCCGTTGAGCAGGATATCGATGAACCCAAAACCAACCAAGATGAAGAAACAGGTGAAGAGCTTGGTAAGCGTGGTTTCTGGAACAATGTCGCCATATCCAATGGTGCAGAGCGTGACCACAATGAAGTACAGAGCGTCCACAGGCTTGTAGGTTTCTTGGCCCTTGAAACTTGCACCGGTTGTACAGAATATGACAATGCCAATTATGACATACACAATGACACCGATGAAGGCTTGGCGGACAATGAAAGGGGTTGATTTAGGGGACGGCCTAGGATCCACAGAGTCTGGAATTGGCACCCGGACGTCAGAAAGCAGCGATGGCGCGGAGTGTGACCGGTGTTTGAGCTTCCTCCTCTTGTTCTTGTTCAAGTTGGCAATGAGATTGGCATAAGAAGAAGAATTTGGTGTTGTGATAATGGGAACAATAACATCACCGCCTGCGAGGAGCTGAGCAGTTGAGAGACGCCTGGATGGACCAACATCAAGGTAAGCTGAGGAGGGGAAGGAGCTTCTTGGTGTTCTGCCTCTGCTAGGCTCTTGCTGATCTTCGCCGCCAACGCCAAGTCTTGTATCAATCTTGGGAAGAAAAGATTCATCCATGGTGATTGGCTCTGTATATAGCGCACGAAACTAAAGATTCAAAGTCTTGGTATTATTGAGATATGTCGTCTGTTTTAAGAAAGATTGGATAAAAAAGCAAAGAAAAAAAAAACGAACTCCAACTACAAGTCAAATCCAGGGAAGAAGAGAGAGTTGAGTGGTTGTTAATCTAAATTGAACCCCTTTTTCATAATTGCCGCTAATTTATTTGTATGTGATGGTAGTTGTAAGTTGTGATCTAACTTGTGACTTGGGAGATTACTTGCACTGGGCTAATTTCTCCACCTTCCTTTTTTATTTTATTTTAATAAATATTTATTTATGTAATTTTCTTAATACAAGCACTATTAAGAAAGGAGCAAATCGAACACATAATCTCGAGTCCATTTAGGAATGTTTTTTTATCCCCTGAATTACAAACTTCCTTAGTTGTTTCTTAACCCATAAAATTACGTAGCTTTTTTTTCTTTTCAAAGTTAGGAATGGCAAGGGGGTTTTTTTCCACACACTCAGGTGCTATGAGAGTTTGAATCTAAGACCACTGGTGAATATTATTATTATTATTATATCAAGGAAGGAGTGTAGTATGCTATTTCTAGAAAAGTACATAAAGAGTGATGTGTGCTAATAAAAAATGTGAACATCATGATCTTGCCAATATAATGGGAAATAATAATAATAATAACAGTCAAACTTCAATTTTGGCTCACTTCTATTCGTCCAAGTATATGATGATAAGGACTTGACTAACCTAACTTTTGTATCTGACCAATTTAAAACAAAGTTTTATATCTTTTGGGCTTATTGACAGTTCAGTATATTAAATAAAATAATATGATTAAAATATTTTCACCATTTACAACTTAAATTATTTTATTTTATTTTATTTATTGATATTATGTTTATACTTGTTCCATTTCAATTATCCTCTGAAAGTCACTGCTTTCTGTTTTTACTTGTTATCCCGTTTTCTATTTATTATATGTCTCTTGAGTTTAAAAAAATGGTTATTATTTAATAAGAAAAATTAGTTTCACTAATTTATAATTCATGTAGATGTTTTAAAAAAAAAAATTATAAATATTATAGAACACCATATGCTGCAGGCCCAAAGCAATATCTTACAAACAGCAAGGGACAAACGTACTCCTTTTCTTTTGTGTACAAACAAGGGATTTAGGCATGGCCAGACAGAACTTCCCCCCAAGTTGGAATTATAGTACTTTCAGTGTTTTCTTGTACCCACCACCGCATTCAATTTGCTGCAACCTGGTGGTGATCCCATGGAGTGATAAATGCTGTCACAGAAATGCAGATAATAATAATAATAATAATAATAAAGGGTTTGTTTCATCAATCTGGCTGTAGCTCTTCACCCATGAAATGAATAAGACATGTCATGAAACAGAACTTTACAGAACTTATGTGTGCATAGTGCAGTACATTTTGCCATAGGATTGCAAAGAGCAATAAACAGATACTTGATTGCTTAGTCAACAAGCATCCCCAAACACAAGTAATAGAACAGAGAATGCAATTCACTAAACTTATAGGGATCTTGCGAGATTCAGTAAACGAAACGAGCGAAATGAAGATCATTTTTATTTGAAATTTCAAAGTATTTACAAAAGAATCGAATTTTGGGTTTTCAGCTTTGGAGTGAAACCACTAAGTTCATGTGTCTAGTTCTATGTACCTGTATATTGAAAAATTCAGCACTCTCAGAGTTTGCTTCCATTAATTGCTGTACCAAAATCTGGATCATGTCTCAGTCCTTCCATTGAAAAAATGATACTGGAATTAAGTCACCTGATACCTTCCATTAGGTCAGCAAGAGTAATTTTGTCATTATTACTATGTTCCAAAGAATCAAATTTCTTGCAGATTTGCAGGATGTCACTCTCTGCAACCCTTCCCATCTCCTTAAGCTTGTATATGATGAAATCTGATTTGCTGTCAATGCCATTAAAGGGGAAAAAAAAAAAGTTAATAAAGAGAAACTCAACCAAACAAGATAGTGCATTTTCAAAAACATGTCAAATAGGCTTAAATCCATATAGAGAAAATTAGGGTTTACCTGATGCATCCATCATTATCAAGGTCTGCTGCCTTTAAATCCCTCAGAGTAACCTCCTTCTGAAGAACCCATTCGGTGATTCGGCGATTCCTCTTCTCCATTCTAAGCTCAGTGAAATACAGAAAAGCCCTGGCAACAGCCAATGTGCTTACCAATAACCACACAATTGCAAAACTCCTTCCTGCAGTAGTCTTAAAACTCAAATCCCCATAGCCTAGAGTTGTGACTGATGTAACAGAGAGGTAAATGCTATCAGGCCAGCTCATGCCCTCCAGAAAATGCACTGCGAATGTCCCTATACCTATACAAACAATAACAATTCCCAATGCCAATCCAATCTTGCTTCTTGTCCTGATTCTTCCTTTCTCTTTATCCACCATGTACGTCTGGATCATGTTCTTGAACTTCCCATCCGAGGGCTCAACAAGACTGATTCTTTTTCACAGATGTACGCCACCAACCCATTTAGCAGAATGTCAAAGAACCCGAAACCGAGCAAGATGAAGAAACAGGTGAGGTACTTGGCAAGCGTGGTATTCGGAACAATGTCGCCATATCCAATGGTGCAGAGCGTGACCACAATGTAGTACAGAGCATCCACAAGCTTGTAGGTTTTCTCGAGCTCGAAACTTGTTGTGCAGAATATGACAATGCCAATTATGACATACACAATAAGACCAATAATGAGTTTCTTGCTGTTGTTGTTCAATATGGCAATGGGATTGGCGCAGGAAGAAGAGGTTGGTGGTGTGGGAATGGGATCGGGAATGATAGCATTATTGCCAGAGACGGGCTGAGCAGGTGATGAGAGAGGCTTGGAGGGCAAGGAAGTTGTTGGTGTTGTGCTTCCGCTAGACTCTGGTTCATCTTTGCCGCCAACGCCAAGTCTTGTGTCATTCTTGGGAAGAAAAGGTTCATCCATGGTGATGAAAGATTAAAGATTTAAAGTCTTGGTGTTATTGAGAAGAAAAAAAACCAACTCCAATTACAAGTCAAATCTAGGGAAGAAGAGAAAGTTGAGTGGTGGTTTGTTTGTTCATCTAAGTTTAAGTTGAACCCTTTTAAATTTTATACTTGCCGCTTGTTCATCTATGTTTTAATTTCCAACTTTACCCCTTAGGATACAAAAGATAATGGAGTCTGTTATTGACAGTTTAATATGTTAAACAAACAAAATGGTGACAGACAAATAAAATTTTATTCATTTAGAGAACTTTATAATAAAACCCATTTCTTGCATTGATTTTATAAATAAAAACTATAAGTTATAAATTGAAGAAAAAACCCCAGAAAAGACTAGCTAATTTTGATGTGTGAAATACTGTTATTATCCTTGCATTATGATTTTTAGATTTTCGTCCATTAATACCTTTGATTCATAATTTCAATTATCCTCCAAACTTGACATGATGGAGTTGGACTTGGGGAGTGTGAAACTCTCCCAGTCACAATCTCACAGCGTGGATTTTTGTTTTTGTCAACCGTTGGGAGAGGGAGGGTGGTAATATTTAGGGTTGGTTTTTGAAAGATACCATCTCATAAGGATCGAACAGACAGGAATTTAAGGCATGGCCGCATTCAATTTGGTGTAATCTTGTGATCCCATGAAGTGATAAATGGGATCAAAGAAATGCAGATAATAATAATAATAATAATAATAATAAAGGGCTTCATCAATCTGGCTGTAGCTCACCCATGAAATAAGACACGCCACCAAGAACCCTTTTGGTATTATGAAGCATAAATGCATTACTCTATGAAGAAAGTTTTGTTTTTCGGTTGGAGAACACATGATGAAAGTTTAACAACTTCTAATTATTTGTTCAGCTGTCAAACTAAAAAAGAAAAAGAAAATTGGTTCAGCTGATGAGAAAATAACCTGCGCCATGTACGAGTCTACCTGCATAAATGAAACGGTTTCATGAATCTGGCATAAGCTTAAAAATGTCACCAAGAACCCTTTTGTGTAATGAGGTATAATTTATAAATGCACTTACCGCATGTCTAAGGCGTAACGAACAACTTGCGCATTATTTGTTCAGCTGATGAGAGCATTACGTGCAGCACTCTCCAGGTGTCTACCTGCAGCAGTTGGGTTGGTTCTCGGAACAGTTTTTCGTACCTGTGCATGAGACTCTGCTTCTTTCTGAAACATCTTAACCAGTTCTTGGAGCTCTAGTTTTCTAACTTCAACATCCTCTTCAACAATGGGTTGTTTTAATCCAAGGTAAACCAATCCAATTCCAATTAGTATAACCCCTAACAAGACCAGAACAGCAGAAAACAGAGCAAACGCATACGGAGATCCTTCGTTTCCTGGTATTCCATCCACATTGATCCCAAAAAGGCCAGTAATGATAGAAAGAACAAGGCCACAACCCCCCAAAACTCCCAAGTTATGCGTCACTCTGAGGCTTTTGTCCTAGAATTAGAGTAGCGGCAGAGTGTGAGAGTACCATTATATAAAAAATCCAACAATGACAATAGAGCATCAAAACTACACCTTGGTCAACTAGCCACTAAAGCAAATTAATTTCAAGCTAAAATGTAACACAGATCCCGTAAATGAAATTGCCGTTCACAAATTTATACTATAAATATTTCCACTATATTCATAATGAAATGCAATTTCCGTCATAAACTTTCGAAGATAAAACATTTGAGATATGGAAAGTTATCTGCAAGGTTGTAAGGAATCCATGACAATTTTAAGCGTTTGAGTTTGTCTGTAAACCTGCAACCATGCACGAACAGTGCTCTGCATCACATCTTGAATAGTAAACAAGCGATCGCGAACTGCTTCTTGCTCTTGAATCATTTCCCTTGTACTCTTTCTTACTCCTTCTAGCAAGCTCTTTGCGGCATCCCCTCTCAAGTGCTGAAGAAGCTCAAACACAATTTCCCCTCGTGCATGGAGTGTCCACTTCACTCTTATAACCTTCTCAATGAACATCAATAAACCAAGTTCGGGTGAAAAGTATGTTTGTGTGATTCAAACTAATTAAAAGATTTGTTATATAAACTAGTACGAAAATGAAAAATTGTAGCCAGGCCAGAGAAACTGAAGCAACAAGAAGGAATGTGACTCGTAGGAAGAAAACAAAATGTCTTAAAAATAGGAATAGCAACTCCTTTCTAAAAGGAAAGACATAAAGGAGGAGGGAAAAAAAGAACAGAGAGGCACAAAATTACAAAAATTACAAAACTGGCAAAAATAAATTATAGACAAAGAATAACAGTG